CTGTACAATTTATATAATTCATGCGCGAATATTGCAAATTCACATAAGCAGTCTGGATAAAATATTCCGTGAGAAAAAATTATATTATATAATATAAAAAATACACATAATTTCAATACAAAATTTAGTTAAAATTTTGGATTTAAATACATGTATTATGCAATGATCATATATTAGTAATGATCATTTCAAATATATTGGGAATAAAAATTAAAAATATAGTGAAATTATAACTCTACGTTAGATATCAAAATATTTGAAATTAAATTGATTGGATCACATCTTAAAATAATTATTCAGGAAAAGTTTATATATATATATATATTGCTCCGGATTTATAGAAAATTGAAAAAAAAACTGCTTAAATATTAGATTACATTCAGGTAAAATTTTGATGGATGGAAAGGACTTTATTATCTTCAAACCTGCAATCATGAATATCATACTTTCAACATGATGCATGATTGAAAATTGAACCATTATTTTAAGAAAGCATGGTTTAATCTACACCCAAAGGATTATGTTATGTTATGATATTATTATTTTTTTTTAATTTTTTTTTATTACTCCCAAAAAATATCTTGCAGTGTGCACATAGAAAGAATTATATAGGATACCATTTTGTAGCTCCACTTGAAAATTATTACATTGGATGTGACTTGTGGCATGGATGTATAACTTGATAGTTCAAAATTTATTGATGTTTTATTCAATTATTATATCTAATTAATTTCTATATGATTTTCATATTCTGCTATAATTGATATACATTTCCAAAACAATCCCAACTATAATTTGAGAATGTTCCAAAATCCATTGTATTTCCAACTTTTTGTTGGCATCAATCAGACATAGAAGAAGCCAATTTAATACTACTGCTAGAGATTTTTACTTCTCAAAATGTCGATTTAAATTCATCAATAGTTTGTACTTTACTTTCAAACTTTATTCCAAAATATTTAAAAAACTAGGTGCTAGAAAAGTATGCTAAGTAATATCAATCATCAATCCTTAGAATGTTTAGCAACTTATAAAAATCAGCTATGATATTATGTCTATTTCATACATTTAACTGATTTTATATTTATTTTAGTCATGATAAAGAAAATTATAGTCATTTGCAAAAGTATGCATTATATAATTTGAAAATACAATAACACTTCCATAAGGAAGTTGATGTTTAAATTAAATTAATTTAGGAATTTTGATTTTTTTGTGGAAAAAAATTATTAGTCCAAATTTTTTAATATTTTCATACAAAAATTTATTTCCAATAAATTTCATAATTCATCATCATCATAAATTAGTATGAATTAAATTTTTATGCTTTATATTAATTTATGTTCCAAAATACTGAATGAAAATATATACACAATAAATCAATATAAATATTTTTTGTCATATTATTGAATAATTAAAAAAATGTGTGTTGTAAGTAATTCATCCAAATATAAAAATAAGATAAAACAAAATTTTATTTGATATAAAATTTTATTTTATTTATATTTTAAAATCGTCTATTTTTATGGAAAGAAATACAAAAATTTTATGAATATTGTATATTTGTGTTGTTACACGACTAATAAGATATTATGTTAACACATAACATCTTTTATTCTGTTGGTATAAAATATATGCCTTAAAATAATGATGATCACTCTCATTGCTTTGAGTAATTAAATTTTGAGAGATGAAAGGTTTTTTCTGGTAACAAAACGAATTTTAACTTACCAATCATGAAGATGTAATTATAAATCGTATCTTGCTTATTATGAAAGTTTTGTTTGTTTGACAGTTGAAGGTACCATTAGAAAAACAAAATCCATTGCACTCCAAAGTACTGAACTTTGTTGTTTGTGATCTTTGGGCTAACAGGTTTGAAAGACATTCAATTTTAAACAAGTGTTTTAAATGTGACGTTGGAAATTCGTATATCATAAATTGCTGTAGTTCAATTTTATGTTTTGAAGCATGACAACCTCATGTATAGATGCTTGCAGATTCAACACTGCATGTTTGCTATAAATTTTTTTTGGATTCAGATGATTAAATTTGAAAGATTCACTGTTTTGTTCATAAGAGAGCGAATTTTAATAATCCCATCATGATGATGAGATAATTATTGATAGTCACTTGATTGCTTAGTATACTTTGTTTGTCGGACAGTCCAACAACTTGTAAAATAAACAAAGTCACTTGTACTCTGGTCCATTCTTTTTGGTTGTTGTGTTCTTTAGGTAGTAGGGTTAAAGAAGATATATTTTCAAACAAGAATTCTTACGCTAGTTGAACATCGTGAGTTGTAGCGATTTGTGTATACAAATTTTTTCTCTCTGGATTTGATGTTTTTGGGGAAAAAGATTTGATGCATATGCGTCTCCATATTGAAAACTATTTGAAAGTTTGACACTACATTCATGAAACTTGTGTCATGTGCATATCAATACAGGCAGATTTTTTTCCAGATGCATAGTAAATCTAAATGTAAATTTTTTGAATTTGAAAATTTAAATGTTCATTTTAAACATATGAGAGTCTCAAAGAAATTTGCTATTCATATGCTATCATAATAATGTTGCAATCATAACTTGGTAATTACTGTATCCACAATTGAAGCCGTAAAAAGTATATCTTATATTTAATAATTAAAAAAATGAACATTTTGAACAAGCTAAGTTAGCATTTTAGTATGATCAAGTTTTCTCTGATGAAGCTATACAAAAACTTTCACATTTTACTTACTCTTGACTTACACTTATGGAAGTCATTGAAAGCTAACCACTCTAAGCAGCAGTGTGGTGTTGTCATATGATTTTATTGTTAAATACTCAATTAGAGTGTAAATCTTAAATTATTTTTAAAATAAGAATAAATATTTCTTGCTTTAGTAGTGTTCTGTTTTGTAAACTTATCAAGTAGACTGCTAGTTGATTGTGATTGGAGCAATTCAGCATTGAATCAATTACTGAATGCCACTAGTCAAACTGTACTTTGAAGCTCAAGGATAAAAAAACCGTTCACTTTGTAAAGTATATGATGCATGATCCAGTACATCTGTTCAAACATAGATTGAATCATTTAATCTAATCATACAAATAAAAATTAAATTGTGCAGTATATATTCATTTTACAGATTTTTCAAATGAATATTGCATGTTCACATAAGCAATCTAGATGGAATCTTAATATCAACTCATTAAATTATAATATTTTACAAATACATGTGATTTAGTCTAAAAAATTGCAACATTTAGAATTTGAATGCGTGTCTTATGTGGTGATTACTTCAATAAATTATAAATTTGATGATGTCAAATATCGTGATAATAAAAGAATTATAAAAATTAAAAGATTATAAATATGAAAAGTCTCCCATTAATTTGATAATAATAAAATGAAAAAAAAAACAAATACAAGGCCCGGGCACTTTTAGTGTATTATACTTGGTTTTGTGGTACACCACAAAACCAAAATACTGTCCCACAAAACAAAGGGCCGGGGAATGTCTGACAAAAAAGGAAAAAAAAAACTGACGGAAGAAGGAAAAAATCGACAAGGCTTTTTTATCCAGAAAAAAGGAAAGATATTGGAAATTTGTAGGTGATTTTGTATTAAATATTAAATTGGAAATTAAATATAAAAAATATTTTGAATTTAAAATGATTTGATGAAATCTACACAAATTAATCAGCAATAGATTTTAAAAGATATATTGCTCTGGATTCATATAAAATTGAAATAAAAAAACTGTTCAAATATTCAAATATATTCAGGTACAATTTTGGAAATATTATAAGAATAAAAACCATGCTAATAAAATTTAGAAATATTAAACTAAAAATCTAGAAATGTTTGATAAACAGAGATTTGTGAATAATTTGTTTGTATAAAAGCAGTTTTTAGATATGAAAAAGCTTATAATTTAAAAAGTAAAAAGTTAATAAAATTTAGAGAATATTTGATAATGTTAAGTATTTTTCGAATAATTATAAATTCCGATTCGAGTGTAGAGTACATCTTGATTGAAGTTAAAAGTTTCTTATATATATATATATATATATTTACGGTCATAGAAATTTTTTTTTTTTAGATAGACAGTGTTGTTTCAAGTAGTTTGAATCTAAAATTTAATTTAGACAAGTAGTTTTTTTTGTTTGTTTTGCTTTTCCTTAAAATATACCCAAAATAAATAGATATTAAAAACTCACACAATTTGTATGAAATGTTATAACACCTACATTATTACCGCTTATGAATATTCGACCTGGAAATTGGTAAGAAAAATAAAACTTGTAGCTGGAATATAGTCGAGAATATGAAAATCTGGCTTACAGTTTAATAAAACTGTGTTGATGATGATTAATTAAAAGAAACATGTTCCACATATGTCATGTGATGGCTGTTTTTGACTAATTGGTGAAGAATGATGAGATTTTATGGTCTGGCTGCAAGATTACTGTACCGAAATCATAAGTTGACTGCGAAAGTGTACGTCCATACAGTACAGCGCAAGGATATCGTTTGTCAGGGTGAGCGTGATTTTTTCTTCCTGCCTGGGAACGTCGACGTGATTTTGGAAGGAGGAGACATCCGATTGGCCGACATGCTGCTCGATTATTGGTGCCCATCATGACGACCGAACCACGTAGAACCAGTCCTCACTGCGTTCCTCGATCTCACGCCGTGACCAAACGCGGTACAGTATCCGAGTCCCAGAGAGACTCTGCAAGCCCGCTTGTGCCTTGGTCGACTTCTACTCCACGTGGTCAAACCACGCACGTACGACAAACTTCGAGTACGTTAATCCCGTCAACGGTAGGACAGACAATGTGCTGGTTAAGAGTCACGACGTACTGCGTGAGCTCGATCTCCCTCCGTTAATCTCTGATTAACGATGGGGTTATGGACCGGGCAGCCGGCCTGTTAGCGTGCGGCATCCGGTTTAGCAGACGCTAAGTGGAAATTAGGAGCGCGATCAAGCGGAAGACGACTGGGCCGGCTGTGGAGGAGCTCTAGGCCGGCGGTGGTGGTGGAGCTCGAGAGCACAAGACACACGCGCACGGGCTGTCGAGCCGGCGGGCTTTTAGACGGTCATCCTACGAGACCCGGAGCTTCGATTTCCCGTCTCGATCTTATTTTTGCCAAGGCGCGGTTCCGGATCTGTCAGCTGCGGCGAGCTTGATCGGTGAGTGCCGCCCTGTGAGCACTCTGATTTCGTGCCCATATTTTCCAGAGGCGTTTTGTAGCACTGGCAGGACGAGAGGACCGTGAGTTGCCCTGATCTGACCTGATCTGATCCCCGTCTTTCACTTGAAACAGATCTATTTCGTCGATCAGTGTTTTGTAAGATGGCTTCACTCAAGAGGACTGCGCTGCTGCTGCTGCTCTCTTCGCTGCTGCTCCTTTTCGTCACCGCCCCTTTTGCAGGTTTGCCCGACCGCCTGTAATTTGCCTTTTTTCAGATTCAGGGTTTTCTGATCCGTTCTGATTTTTGAATCTGAAGATGGTACGCCGTGGAACACGGTCTTGCTTTTACAGATGCTTTCGCTTTCTGAGTGCTATTTGTGCGTGTAGCTTGTCTTGTGTATCGGGGGTTGCCCAAGCAATGGCCGGCTTGTCGAGTTTTTGTTGTGATTAATCGGTCAGTGCATGCACATGCAAAGGAGTGGGCATCAGAGTTCGGGCGGCCAGAAGTGATAGGCATCTGCATGTGCTGTAGCATTACGTCCAGGCTTCTTGCAGGGTTTAGGCATCTGGATAGGAGGTGTGTTTTGTTGCTTTTGAAGCTTTGCGTGAGATTTGGTTTCTGTGACCTTTGTGTATGGTGTAATAAAGTTCCGGGTGTGATGCAGCTGGGAGTGAAGCTGTAAACGAGGAGGAGGTCGGAGGAGCTGCCGACGGCGGAGAAGTGGGACTGGTCGACGAGGAAGTCGATGAGTTCTTCAGCGGCGACTCACTGGGATCTGCACCAGGAGTTGAAACAGTGTTCCATTTTCCGAAAAACACCGAAAAGAGTGAGTTTTTCCAAAATCAATATCTAGGGTTCCGTTTGAATCCACGTCCGATCACTACATCTCAGATCAACCTCAAACTTTTACAGCAGGACGAGTTTCCGCAACGTTTTCAAAATATGCAGCAATTGTATTCGCTTATAGTTTAGTGCGGCCTAGTTTTCACGGTTCGAGTATGCTGGATGAGCCAGAGGAGCTCGATGCTTGATGATCGTTGGGAATCGTGTACTGTTGGTCCCCCCTGTCGTGTTGTTTTGTCCAAAATTAAAATTGTTTGTGCTTACGAGCTGTTCGCATGGTGGTTGCAGTGATCACTGCGGGAGAATCTGCGGAGATTATCGTTGGTTTGAGGAATTCTGGTAAGTCGTCCCAATAAATGCTGGTGTTCACTTCTCCTGTACATATTTCTGAATGTCCTGCAATGGACGACAAGTCTGGGAAAGCTTCGAAGAAGTCGTCTGGCAAAGTTTTATATCAGGACTCGCACCGCACATCCTTACTGATTGATAGGAACCTCAATCTCTAGATACTGAAAGTACAAGAATCGGTTCCTGCTTCGCTTCTTCTTTGCTCACAGAGGGTTTCTTTCTGTCTCATTGAAAGCTACGATTCATTGTCTCCGTATCTTGTTAATACTGTTAGAACCCAACCTTCATCTATACAAACATTTCTGGTCTTTTCTGTTTCATTAATATTTACTTCTCTATGGTTTCTCTTTGCTTTCAGTATTATTTTGTTGTCACCTATTTATTTTATCCGACAACTGACATTGTGTTTTCTAAGTTTGGCCCAGTGGCTTTTGAAAACTATCATTTTTTCTGTTTGTTTAGTTCTGTAGTTTTTAATTTGCAAGACGCTCCAAGGTTTGAGGGCAGAATCCATCAGAATATTTGTGCCTAGACAACTTAGAAAAAGTCTTGCCTCTAGCCCTCACCTGTCGGTCCCATAGAAAGTCGTTCCCACTATAGGGATAGACACTGTCTACTCCCCTCCCCTACTGTAGCCCAAATCTTATCTTGAATACTATTTTATGTCCTTTGAACCAAAAGAGAGTCTCATTGAACAAGAGATTTGCCTTTTACATTTCCCCTTCTGTTGCTCGTGTTGTTTATCTCAACTTCTTAGCAATCAGTAGAAGTTTTCTTTTATAACCTTCTATTTTGGGCCTTCCTTCCTAAATGCAAGGGAGTTCTTTTCTGCGTGAGGAAAAAATATTTGCTCTAGGCTCGAACGCCAAAGGAGGACACTCTAAGCTACACAACCATACGCACATGCAGTCTATTTAGGTTTCATGTAAGGCATAGGGGAAAATAGTATGTTGTAATGTTTTCTCTTGGCACAACTCAATATGTTACGTAGTTAAACTATTTGGGAAATCGGTTTCCAGGGAATTTCCTCTGTTGATCTTTCTCTCACTAGTTATGTATTTTTGATACAATTATGTTCAATATTTCTATGCTGTTCCTATAATAACCGAAGTGAGCTCTTTTCGTTCAACTACTGCTTCCATGCACGAGTTCCGCTTTAAAACTTTTCCTCTGTCAATATTATATAACATCGAAGATAGCGAACGTTTTATCACCTTTTGTTCTGTTCCATCAAATGTCATCTTTATACTTTTTCTGGTTTTCTTTCTCTACCTTAATTGTATATGTCGGAGCTTGGTGTCGTCGAAATAGAACAGCAGTAGATTTCCGAAGGGAGACCAGTGTGCCACAGCTGTAAGGTTGAATATGTGTCGGGAGTGTGACACGAATGTTACCGTCTTCAATGTTGACAGTTCTGCAAGTTTTGTCTATGGGAAGGAGCTTAGACGCTAGTTTGAAGTTTGTGTGTAGCAAAGTAGAATGCAACATGTAGACGAGCAGAATGTTTTGTGCTTTTGTGCATTTGCAACAACACTACCACGGGTTCTCTCTATCCTGTTGCTGAGTATGGTCCACTGCAATCCAAGTTTATTGGTCTGTGGTATTGTAAATATGAGGTTTGGTTGATTTCAGATGGGAATGGCTGTATTGTAACCGGTGTACATGGCAGGATTTTCGTTCACCCGTTCCAGGGACTAAATAGTTTTTTATTTCTCTATGCAGGAGAGGTCCCTCTTAAAGTTACTTCTGTCAGAGCAAGTATCAATCTCCCTTTTGACCACAGGATCTTTGTCCAAAACTTCACTGCACAGGTTTGTTGCTACACCCAAGAACTGTGTATAATTTTCTCTGTATCGGTTTTCTTTCACAACACAACCTGTCAGTATTTGTAAGATTTTCCGAAGAATCGTTTAAGCTGGACCAAGTAAAGACAGGTGGGAGCAAAAGAAATTCCTTTATATTGCGTATGATTCCGCTTTAATTGCTTTTTCATCTACGGGATGTTTTGCAGCAATTTCTGTGGCATTTTCAAAGTTGCATTAAACTACGAAGTTAACAACTTCAGGGTTTTTCGTTCTAGTTCACAACAGTCTTCTTAGCATGATTACAATGGAGGTTCTTGAATGGACATAAGGATCAAAGCGTTGTAGGTGACCTTCATTAGATTGACCGACTATGAAAACCTCATTGATCTTTCAGGAATTCGCCAACGCCACTGTTCCCCCTGGTGTGCAAGCATCCTTTGCATATTCGTTCACTATCAGCAAGTACTTGCAGGTATAATATGCTTTCCTCCCTGTTTTTCAACTCAAATGTTACTGTTATGTGAAGTTTGCAAGGACTCAAAGGAAAGGGCGTCTGCTTTTGTCGGGTCTTTTGTTTGTTTCCTTCCAAGTTTTTATCTTTGCTTATCTAGATTGCTTACTTTCAAGGAAATCGTTGAAAGGACTTGGAAACTGTGCCTTGGGAGAGCATTGTGTAGAAATCAACAGCCGTGATTGGATGGTGTAGATTTTAGTACCTTTTTATTGGTCTGACATGTTTAAGTTCGACTGCAGCCTGGTGGTTTTGCTTTGGTCGCAAGCATCTACTACGACATTGATGACCAGCCACACAGGACTGTCTTCCACAACGGTACAGTTGAGGTGATCGAGGCTCACGGCTTCTTCAGTGGCGAGACTCTCTTCCTCATCACCTTGGGAATGGGTTTGCTTGGTCTCGGTGGAATGTGGCTCTACGGTCAAGCCCAAAAGTTTTCGAAGGTAGGATCTTAATTACCTATTTTCTGGCTCTATTTTCTTCTGTACTTGACACTCCCTGTAGGCAATTTGAGCAGAAGAGTTGCCTTTTAGCAACTAGACGATTTCTCTACGTATATGATGCTATTTTTGAACCCGTCTGTGAGCATCAAGATTCACTCCTACATAATCCTCGTCTTTACCCGTGAAAACAAGCTAGAGACACTTTCCAGCCACAGTAGCTGGTGTAGTTTTCTACAAACTCGCGTATACAGGAGTATATCTTGTGGATGTTCAGTCGAGGTTTGGACATGAGATGCTCCTTGGTCTATTCCACTCACGAGCTTTTGCGTATTGTGGTTTTAAGCTTGAACTGCCTGGGAAAACTACCTGCCCTCACCTTCACTTTGTTACATATTGCTGTCTACATTCATCCCACCCGGCGTTGAACCTACCGGCAGCCTTATAGTAATCCAACAGACACACCGTTCCGTGCTGGTTGTTGTTATTTATCCTAGTTGACCAATTTATCAATTTGTCATGTGCATTGTGACGGGTGATGTCGCAGAAAACTAGAAGAACAAAGAAAGTTGAAACCGGCACTCGCAGCACCGACGCCGCCGCCAACGAATGGCTCCAGGTCTACTTCTCATTTTTAGGACCTTTTTTGTGCCTTGACCTAGCGAGGTTTCACTGCGTAGGAAGTGCTGGGTGTATGAAGGCTTCTAGTTCTCGTGTTGGCTATCTTTGTCATATCTTGGGATATTGTAAGCATCGTTTTATGAGTCGAGTGGATTCTTTTCTACCTTGAAAACTTGTCCGATAGCTTTTCTGAACAACGAAAATTCGGATTGTTCAGTCCTAGATTTTGCCCATTCTCTATCTTCTCACAAAGCTTGGTGCCTTTTGATTTTAGGGAACTTCCTTCACCGCAAAGCGACCGACCAGCATTGCCATGTCCAAGAGCAAGAAGAAAAAGTAGAAGACAAGCCTTGAACTTTTTGATCGTGAGGCGAGTTGTCTGGATAGTCGGGTCTTGGCAAGGGGCTGGCGTGTTAGGTCAGTAACTTCTGATCAGAGAGTTTGGGTATTAGTCAGCAGAGAGGCACCACCGCTGGGTGCACGGCCCTTGAGTTGCTGCTCCGGCGCTGTTAACGATTTAGGAGAAGCCAGTGCCTTTCAGAGCTCGAGATGCACAATCTTAGATGATTCTAAACAGTTTTGTTCTGTATTTTCAAAACTTGTGTCACCTAAGTTCTATGTAGTGTTGATGTTAACAGTGAAGAGTAGTACCTGTATCATGGAGATGCTCTGCGAACAAACTGTTGTCCATACCTCCTAGAAAAGGTTACGATAGTCATCAATGGAAATTGAAGTTAGGTAGACAGAGTTGAAAGCCTGAGATGTCCCCATTATGATCGACATCGAGCATTTCATGAGGAGCCAGTCGCCGTTGTCCTTAGCAGCTGCTGATTACCGAATTGATCTTCCAGTGATTCCCAACATTGGCAATTGTAGTGGGAATTCAAGAGAAATGGAAATGGAAATGGAGAAGGCTGGCACTGATAACACGGAAGTCACATGTTTCAACTGAGACAGATATTGGGTGTTGAGATCAAGGTCAGTGGCATAGCGGTAGGCATGTTGGTCAATTGTTCAAGATCGAAGGTTGTGTTCCTACTATTGGTAATCTGTTTATCTAAGGGGATACGGTTGATCACACTTATTATGGAGTGCTCAGGAAATGCCTGTGAAGTTGTCGAGCTTTGAGGCAGTTGTTGCTGCCATACAAGTACTCTTTGGGAGCTGGAGCTGATGGCATGATTATGTTTGATAACAAGAAAGAACCCTCTCACATCCAAATAAGCTGAGTGACCGGGGATGAAGTTGCATGAAGTTGGCATCGAAAGCAGTTCTTTACAACGAAATCATGTAGACATCTCTGATTGCGCCCATTGGACGATGGCTACTTTTGGGAGATGGGGAACAGACTACTACTAAATTTGTAAAGGCGAATTTCTTGATCAAAAGCAAAGCGTCGTCGAGGGGAGGGTCAAAGCGTGCAAAAAGATGTGGTTGTTACTCAAGATCACATTACATCGCTACATCCGCGCAGGAACGAACATCGATTTAAACCTTAAAAAGTAGATAACCAAGTGACAGGGTTTCGTCGGTAGGGCACGGACTAAAGGTAAATCTTATTTGAATAGGTTTGAACTTTTCAAAGCTATTTTCCGATCCAATCGTAAGGTTTGAAGAAGCGAGATGTGTAAGTGCTCTTCGTTTGTATTCTTTTATATTGATGAATAGCTGAGTCTCAACTCAAATCAGTCAAGAGGGGTTGCCATGTGAAGAGTTTATCTGCTGTATAGGAAATGGTATCAAGAGGAAGGCAAAATGGATTAATGTCTTCTTAAAACCTACCAAGCTTGTAAGTTGAAGAGAATTTGACTTTTATTGTATAAGTGTGATAAGAGAAAAATGATGTTACAAAGTTCTTCCATTTCACACAAAATATTTATTAGAGTATCTTTAATGTTTAGTGAAGAGTTTCATGATCAAAAGCTTATTTTGACCAAGAGATCTTCAGTCCAAGTGAAAAGATTTCCATAACATGATGTAAATACGTTAATTATTGCATGTGACGAAAATAGCACAAAGGTATGAAAATCGATAATGTGATAGAATATTATCACAATTTATTTTATGTGACGTAATTAGCACAAAGGTATGAAAGTCGGTATTTTGATAGAATATTATCACAATGTAATCTAAGTGTTCATTTAAAAAATGAATGATAGATATAGAAAAACTCATAAGACTACCTTACAACATTTGATTTATGAAATAAAGGAGAGAATACGAGTACTTTCAATGAAAAATATTCTTAAACTATAGTTTGGATACATACAATGATAATCTTGAAATATTTTTTGTTGATTGTGCTTTGATGGACATTTTGAATGACATGAATGATTGCGCATCATGTCTACCTTAAAAAAATGAATGGCCCTATGAATCTAGCCTAGCATCCGTGCATGCAATCTTCAAATCATTATCATGTTGAAATTGCTAATAATTTGATATGAAAATTAGATTGAATCTTATGAATGGAATCAAAAGTTATGTATAACATAACTTTTCGATAAAATGGTTTACTGCAAATGGAGATCTCATCTATGCACTCATCAAGTGATGCACTAATCGTTTAAAATAGCTTAATTGTTACATGATATGGATTATAGACATGCAGTTAACGATTAATCATCTCATGATACCATTGCATCAAAGTATATTTCATACTTATGAATTAGATTTTTTTTTATTGTTTCAGACCTATCTATGTATTGTTATATGATACATATTTGCATAACACCAATCAAAATCAATGTAATGTAAACATCAATCCTTCTTGAACAGATTCTCATATGCAACAATAGCTAAATTAATAAGAACCATAGTGCAGTTGGATAGATATATTGTAATATACTTGTTGTAGTCACTTATAACCTCACTTTGAGACGCAGTGCTCAAAGGAAGAGTATAGGTGAAAATTATGTAAAAATATTCTTTTTGAAGTTTAGTCTCGGAGAATGTTGCTGTGATGTTGCAAAAGCTAGCCTTAACAACTAAGTTTTTTTCTCTGACATCCCACTTATCTTTGGGTCGAAAACACATTTTGAATAACTAATTTTCAACCAGTAGAGTTTTATCTAGGCATGTTGGAATGAAAACTTGGAATTCGAGACTTGGTGAACGTGGGTCTCTGGATGACAGCTGATAGAAGAGCTTGGAGGTTCTGTTTGTGCTCAAGTTTAGCTAGATGATCTTAAATTTGTAGTTTGCACTCTACCCTAGAGCTGATAGCGCATTCGGAGTTATACATTTCAACGAGATCAAGTTACGGAGTTCTAGAGTTCGAATCTTGGATATTGTGTCTATCATGAAATAAAATTAGAGAACTTAGATGCATAGAAACTCAAAGCTATATATATATATATATATAAAATTGAATTCTTTCAATTTTTTATATTTACTAGAAAAGTAGGAAAATAATCAGTCAAAGAATAATCATTCGGCTAAAACAGTCCATATGTAACAGCTGAAGCCATGAGATGCATGGAGTACCTGGTGGACTTCACTGCAACCGTTTCGAAATGGGAACGCTTTCTCCAGCCAAGCGCTAAGGCCGAACTGCAAATTTAATGGAGTTCATGGTGTAGATCTGGCGACATCTCCAGGTCCCTGCCCGAGGCTCTCACAATTATGCTCGCCCTCAAAAACAGAGTACACGAGAAGCAAGGCGTGGAAGAATGAAAGAGTGCAGGGCGTGCACGCATCGACGCTCCCGCAGCTCGTGCTGGCCACGAGCTGGATGCGAGAGAAATCTGGTCCTGTAACGGCGATCTCTGTCAAGGCAGCGATGGCAATGAATGCCGACCGAACTTGCGATTGGGGAGAAGAAATCGGACTCACCGCCTCATTGACTGACTGACCGACCGACCCATGGACTCCCTGCCCAATGCAACGCAATCGTTCGGCCTCAAAATCCGGTCTCTCAACTGTTTATCGTTCATATATTCAACAATAAAATTAATGGTCTCCTTGAGGACATCCCTTTAGGAGTGCGACCCGGCGAGTAGATGAATATTATTTAGTTGCCTTAAGAAGATCCCTTCAGGAGAGTGACCCGGCGATTAGCTGATTGATTGTCTCCAGACCTGTTGCTGCCAAAAAGAAAATAGAAGTGGTACAAACCTGCAGCATGTAACAACCACATTAATACACAGCTTCATGATTCTCGTGCATAATTCTGAAGCTTTCATGCGTGCACAATGTAGTCCCATTCTTAACGAGGAGTTACTCTTTATTTATAAATAAATAAATAAATAAATAATCAATTAATTCAGGTTGTGAGGTCTGAATCTGAATCGAGAATAACTTGGAAAGAAAGAAGGCAGAGGAAGAAGACGTGGAGACAAAGATCGATGGAATCTCGACTCGATCAAATGTGGATTTCAGAGCATCGCATCGAGTCAGGAGAAGAGAGCAGCTGGAGAGTGATGAGGATGCATGACATGGTGGCACCCGATCGCAGATGGACATGCACACCAGCTGTCGTCGAGGGTTAGAATAATGGACACCGAGTTCTGTACAAATAGCCCTCGAATCTGAGAACCCCGTTGACTCATACAGAATCCGAACAGTGACTAATCCTATGGTGGGTCTTCCTCTCAGCTCGAGCTGTAGCACATCGATCTCAAAGTTGCGTGATTTTGTTCTTGATCTGGTGCCGTTCATACATATGAACTCGAGAGAGCGTTCATTCCTTTCACCCAGATTGTGGCCAGGAAGGTGTCGTGCGTGCGGCTGGACAGCCTGAAGTCTGAGTCCCAAGAATATAGACGAGCGCTGGGCAGCAGTGAGTTCCGGTTGTAGAGGAAAACCTGAGACCAACGGGTGCTGACTATTGAGCAATGTGCATCAATTCCAAGAGCAGCGTGTGACAGATTCAGACTTCCAGCTGACACGATCTCTTGGGCTTAGAATACAAGTCACGCCGAGCAGTAGGAGCAGGCGGAAATTGCTATCATCACCTTGTAAGTGGTTCTTACGGTACGGGAGACATCTCTATGATCGCATAGAGAGGGTTTGGGAGTGAGATCCTCAGAATGAGCTGAATGTAAAGGCTGGCATAAAGCGTACGAGGAGCACAGAAGATGAACGATGGATGATGTTAATTGGAACTCGCAGTGGTGACGGCCGCAAGTACCATGAAGAGAGGCTGTAGTCTCACACGGCCCCATTGCAGAAGTCGAGCAAGGTGCCGACATGTAGTCCCCTTTTCTGAACAGAACAGGGCGTTTCAGTATTTGGATCATGTTTAATCATATCATACCCATCTTTAAACGAAACTTTATGGTCTGCATTATATCTGATAGACAATTCCATTCAGCAAAGTTTGCAATGTTGACAATTGCTTTGCGGCCTTTTATGGAATTCTGGCCAATGATATGACATATCATGCACAGAAAACTATTTACAATGCTTAGTCAGGTTTCTACACATCTAATAAACAAGGGAACGATCTGATTTATATCATGAAACCGTGGAGATAAATTCATTAATCTTTTTGGTTTAGAATTTGAAGTTAAACAGCTTATATATAATCTATACGCTTTCTTATCAAAACGTAAATTCTGATTAAAACTTGTCATGAGAGACCTTAGGCATATAGTAGTATGATTCAAACTTTAAAATGAGAAGTGAGTATTACAAAGTATATCTTTGAGCTTCATATTTTCTTAGTTTCAAAGTGAACGGTTTAGATATTGTTTGGTTTAAATAAAACAAGCAAAACATGACCTGAACATGAACAAAAACATAAAAAAGACATAACTTTTTGTAGATTGCAATCACTGAACTATGAAAATATCTTTATGTTCATCTGCCATTCCCAGTGCTTGATCGAAGATGTGAAATAAATTGGAATGTTTTGAATCGATTTTAAAAGAAGCCACTATGGGAAATGTGGAAGAGCAGGATGTGCTGGAACGTGTCTCGTTGTAGGTGAATGTGAAAGGAGGATGCTTGTGCCTGTAAAATATACTCTCTTGCAAATTCTCGGCTGCTTTCTGCACTTCATGGAGCAGTCAGAACTGGCACACCACACAAAAGGCACGGCAGCTGATGTCCTCCTATTCATGGCAGGATTCTTGCAGGTGCGAAGTTATGGAACACAGCATTTATTGATGGTGCATTTCTGGAACCTGACGCACTCTTTGGGAGTAAAGTGAGCGCTGTGCCGAGCTTGCAACACACATCTGGTCTGCTCTTTATCGAGAACTCGATGCATTATTTCCATTCAGGATGGAGAGGTACTTGCTCCATGCACGCCTAGTTCTTGTCAATGCTCGTATATAATCTAGTTCATTTGATTATGAACTGTAAAGGCTCTGCGTCCAATGTCTTCTCAGAGACTGCGGCTTCTGGTGTTGCCGCAATTTTGGAAGAGGGTTCATGCGAAGCTTCCCACCACCATATTACCTTGTACGAAACATCTCCTTTTGCAGTTGCGTAGATTTCATCTCTGGTTTCTTTCAGACTATCACTTGAGCTCTCGATGATTGAGACTTACTCAAACCTGTCAAAATGACAAGCTTCTACAAATTAAAGATAACATAAAGCTAATATTCTTTTCCTTGTTCACATGTGTCTTGTAGTGGGCATGATCTGATTCAGCTGGATGGCTGTTTCCAAGTTGCACTATAGTTTCAAATCTATTGCATGTAGACGGGGTGCAGTTAGCCAGCCCGACTGTGCAGTGCATCTCGAGTACATTGTTTCAAAATCTGGGATTTAATTTGCCTCGTTCCTCTTCCATGCAGGAGAACCTATCTGTAGGTGACTTATATCAGAGCAGATATACGTTCCTTTTGACCACAAGATCTTCTTCCTGAAATTTGGTACTTTTAAAGATGGAGAAGTAAACAGATTGTGTCTTTCTAAATATCTCAATTGCTTCTTTAAAGATATTTTAAAATTGAAAAAAATAGAATAGGTTCTTTTATCTCTAGAAACTGGCATGTGGGGTCGCGTAG